AGTGACGTGCTAGTAACCTGCTAAATAACGAGATAATTCCAACGTCAATTTTTCTATTTTTGCGACAGTGTACAAACATGCACCGCTGACGATCACGGTGACCAGCTACACCAGAACGAACATATTTTCGCATCTAACTCAACCCCATGCAACAAAAATTGATACTATGTGTTCATTATGGTCCATTCCTCCTCGACGAACAAGTACATAAGTGAAAATTTAGTCAAAGATGAGAAAACTGCAGAGGAAATCTGCCTTATTTACACGTATCGGCAATGCAAGCTGCCATGCGACTTCCCCTTCTGACGTCACAAGGGGAATTTCTGTATGCAAGTAAGAAGCTAATAAGGAGCCTCGTTTTAAAATACACAAAAATAAAGTTGCCGTAGATTGAGTTTAAAACACATTTTTCACTTAAAAAAATAATTCATGCTCAGAAACATAAAAAAATAATATTTATGTATCAATGGATAATTTTAGGCGTGAGAATAGCAGCCATTTCACAGGCACTTTAAGTGGTATAAGTTGTAAGTTAAACCCAAGACAGGCTAAACAATATGCAAGTATAATTGTGTAGTTTCAGATGACAAAATCAATATAATCAAACTGCACACGCTACTTGCTTTATCTTGAATCGGTTTAATATGTTGAGCCATGTCATGAATGGCTACACTGTGATGACGGTTATCACATGAGTGTGATAGGTTCCAACAAAAAAGTTTTCACCAGATAATTTTGTGAAGCATCCATGACATGCAGACTTGTAATTGGTAGTAGAAGGCATAGCTTTTGTCTAATACGTATAATTAAATGTTCATTCCATTGTTAGTTTCCAGACTTTCGGCTATTAAAGCACCACATCGTGTTTGACAAAAGGATTTTGTAACGAAGGTTGATGTGTTCCTATACCACCTGTGTGCATACTTTGCGGTATTCTTGTGATAACCTTATACAATGTACATATTATTATAGAATAATTTAATGAGAGATAAACTTGCCTGAAATGGCAACGAGAAAAAACATTTTGTGATATGCGAAACGTTTGCATTCTGTGACAGGATGCTATTTCCAATCGTGATGGAGATATAGTTTACCCCAAGTTTTTAACTTGAACCAGTGCAAATAATTTCAAACATTTCCTATATATGTCATGCCTTTAAGCTCTGTCTCCAATACCTTCAGCGCACTCATTCTGAGCTTTTGTTGTTCTATTTTTGTGCCTCACAGAAAGTAATGGTTCACATATGGAAGAGTTTGTAGCACGAGAAATGGTTCTTGATTCCAATGAATTAAATTTACAATCACAGCAGTTACACGAAGACTTGATGCGCCTCAAACAACAGCAGCAGCTGCAGAAACAGATGCTGATAGACCATTTTAATAAACAGCAGCAAGAGTTGGCTAAACAACATGAGAAACAAATACAGGAACATTTGCAGGTGATTGCTAAGCTTACTGAATTGTTTTGCTGCTAATTTGAGATGATTTTCTGCCTCTTTTAAAGGGCAATGGACGTCATGCTCAATTACGCTCAAATTTTGTGTAAATAAGCAGCACATTTGACCCCCCATGCATATTGTAAGTGTAGTATGGAACCCACGTCGAAAGCGACCTCCTCTTTTTGAGCATAGCAGTTCACAAAAAATCTGTATTCATTGATCTAAATGTTCATTTTAATAATAATTATGACATTCATGTAAACTGAGATAGTGAAAAGGACTGTTTTGTGAAAGAGGACAATAGTTGTCAAACGGTCATATGCCAAAATGGTGTAGGCGTGGTTCTATTATTGTAAAAAATCTGTATTGGAATCTACGGCAGGGGGGTTTGTGGCTTCTATTGGAACATCTGCTTATAAGTGGTGAATTTGTGAAACGGCTTCCTTTCGGAATGCAGCTTCTAATACCGATTTTATGGTAGTTAGGTGCTTTTTGACGTACTACTGGTCAAGTAGACATGGTGATTATAATAGCATCGTGTTTTCCATAATTATAAAGATCTCACTAAAGTATAATATTCTTAAAATGTGCGCTGATGATAAAAACATTTTCTATTTTATTTGTGTCACTTTGCTGAAGCTTTTCTGTGTGTCACAAGAAAGTTTTAAGCCGGATTAAAACAATTGAAAAATTCTCTCAACAGTTATATAAATAAGTCTATCACTATTTTAATTTTTCGTTTACTCATTTGTTTTTCTGAATCAAATGTCTTCTTGCGTGATGCTTTATAGTGATATCGTTTGAAGATAGCACGATTGGTGGCCGCAAAACAACGATCTCACTGTTATGCTGCTATGGCTGTGTTAATGTTATTGAGTAACTTTTGGATTCATAACAATGTTCAAACTGTCACCGTTATTTTAGGACGAAAAATGTATGCGAGAGTCATTGCTAACTAATTTGCTTACCAGGCCTCAATTTAGGATCCCTTACAACAGTATGATGTATGTTTCACCATCAATACTCTCAGTCAATGTAAAAGTGAGTCTTGGGAAGCAAATAATCATCAATGTTCACTACTGGAGGAAAAAGAGAAGGTAGTTAGTTGAAATTCAACCTATATTGGATATGAGTCATGTAATCTAAGTTGCCAAGCAAAAAAGATATGGTGGGACTTTCTCACCATAGAAGCCTCAAAATCGGCCTTTTCACTGTTGATTGTTAGATTCATTGTTTATGCGAGTTTAGTGAACAGCATAAAATAAAACCACAATGAAATAGATCATTTATTTTAATGTTTAACCTCATGGGATAAAAAAAAAATGTTAGTATTGGTCTATTTGATTTTCAAAGTTTGGAAAGCGCCCTCAGTGTTGTAAAAAAAATATGGAATCTATGTAAAGGCGCATTACGTGTGTCCAATCAGTTGGGATTTTTCAATTCTTAATAAATATTCTCTGTGTTTGTTTCTACAAGAGTATAGTTTTATATCATATATTTGATCCTCAGCACAGGGATTGCATAGATTGTATGCTTACAGCTGTGATCAGATTTCACTACATCACACTAAAACTGGATGATAAAATTTAATTGTGCTGTCTGGAAGTTTATTATGCCAGGAATTTAGAATATCATGCCACTAATTCAGGGTTATATGTATCATGTTTATGTAGGACACTGTTGATAATAGCCCAATTCATATAATATAGACATACTGTTGCTACCAAGTGTGGCTATGATCTCACTTAATATAGGTACATTTGTATTTTGCTATATTGTACCAGATATGGCATATTCCACGTCACAGAACGTTCTACGTTCTATATGGGCTTTGCGCGAGCTGCTGTGGAACACCAGTCAAAAAAGCGGAGAAAACACCACAAACTCAAATTTATAAATGTTACACATGTAGGGGTGGGTAATCTAGTTACACAGTTCAGGAGAGTATTAACAACTATACCAAAGTACTGTTTTCTGAGAGTATTCAGCTTTTGTGATGGTTGCCAGGCGGTAAAAATGCCTGGATGTCCGCCCCTGAGGATACAGCTTATATACAGACATATTGCCAACAAATATGACCATGCTGTACCTTACTCAGTGACAGTCTTACTTTAATACAAACTCTGAATATGCAAATAAAGGTATGATGCTACCAAATATGGCCATGCTAATGCCTAATATAGGCGTAATGCTACCATCAAATATATTTGACATCCATTTCCTTGATTTATTTGTGCTTTTTTACATCTTGCGTATTTGTCATCTGTGATGATCCAGTGGGCTGACAGACAACAGTCACAATTGGTTTTACAGACACAAAGGATACTGCAGTTGCAGAAAGAGAAAGAGCTGTTAGAACAACAGGCAAGGCTTCAAGAGCAGCAACGGAGAGATCAAGAAAGACAGCGGCAAGAACTTCTGATGAAGAAGAAGGATAAGCCTGAAGGGCATGGAAGTAAGAGTTACTTATGCATTCTGTTTTTAGCTCCTAATAACCTTCGTTTACTCTCCTCCAAGGTGTACTCTGGCAGGAGGTGCTAGAACCACATCCGCTACTTTCAGAGTCCAATCGTTTCAAATGTCAAAGTCACATGTTTATTATAATATTAAAATGTTATAATTTGGGTCAAATGCTTACATGTAGAACTAACTGTAAACTCTGCCTTCATGAATCGTGTACTGTATAGGGCTTGATATGTTTTCTTTTTCACTTTTTTCGCAGATAGCTAAATGCGCTAAAGTTAAAACCAGTTAAAGCAGGGGAGTTGTCACCTGCACATGTGTCAGATGGCCATAGCGTGTCATTGTTTACAAACAAGCGTCTAACATGAGCCTTTGTGTTTTAGTGTGTGTTTTTATCGTCGCTTGGAACTCAATTCCCGCGCGTGTGCGTAGGTGACCACCCTCCTGCTTTAATATTCAAATTTAACATTGTAAAACATAAATCAACTAAAATTAAAAAAAAGGGTAAAAATTTGTTTCCCGTATAGTATCACTGAACTTATTGAAATACATATACTGAATTCATATACCAATATGTACATTTTAGGCCCCCCCAATAACAAATGAACATGCCTCATTTGCATAAAATTTAAATCTGTGCAAGTAAATACCGAATATAAATCGTCCATCTCTTGCATGATAATTAGAAGTGATTTTTAAAATAAAAGGAATCTTTATTTAACCCAAATTGTAATTATGTTGTGATCTTTTCCTAGGTGCTAATGCATCCAGTGAAGTGAAACAGAGGTTACAGGAATTTGTACTCAGTAAAAAACAACGTGAGGCTGCAGCAAATATGAATCATTCCCCGCCACATCCTTTTAGAAATTGGTAAGTCACGTTGTTAACAATCGGCACCACATGTTACGCTCATTATTAATGCTGTTTCAGTATATAAATATAATCTATATTTAGTATCTATATTCTCGCTGTCTTTCCATTGTTGGACTGTAGTATGACCTAAATATAGATAATTTGTCACATGTATGGTTTGAATCACATATTAAAAGTCGTATCATATTTACTTATTTTATGTGGAGTTTATATTGGTATGACGTCTGATTTCTCAAATATATATATGTTTTTAGAGATCATTTAATTACTCTGTGTACGATTATTTTAGCCACTTCAACCATATTTCATGATACAGCCACTGTCTCTCTATTGTATTTTCCTCAAAATGTTTCTTGAATGCCTTATTTTCCAGGCTAAAATGTTGGTGCCAGGCTTTATAGCAGTTGACAGTGGCATACATGGACAGTTTCTAATTTGAGATATTTTGTTGATTTGTTTTGTAGGGCTGTTCATCATAGTTCATTGGAACATCATTCTCCACCACACAGTGGTGTATCACCTCCATATCAGCATACAGTACTCGGCCAGTATGATAATACATTTCCACTCAGAAAAACCGGTAAGAACCTCCCTATTATGATACACTGTATGATAAACTTTAAATTACAAGAGACAATTGTTTGTGAACTTTGCATTTCAGGGATGTTGTAACATTTCGTAGCAGTGAGTATTTAATTGAGATCTTTAAAACAGCGAGTTGAACATTTCAATTGGATCTTTAAAACTGAGTTGCGAAATTCCATCCTCACAGATGCATTCAAATTATTGAATCAAGAAGGTAGATAGCAGCAAAAACAAAACAGCATACAAGTATTTCTAATATACTAGTTCTGGTAAATCAAAACATTTTAGTAAAAAAATGTAATTGAGTAATCATTGGTATCATTTTGTGTATGTACTCACAATCTTAATTATTCTTCCATCTCCAGCATCTGATTCCAACCTGAAAGTGCGGTCGCGTTTGAAAGAAAAAGTAACTGAACGACGGAGCAGTCCATTGTTGAGGCGGAGAGATGGTCCCTGCAGTTTGAAACGCAAACCTTTATCAAGTAAGTATGATGAGTTTGTTGTTTTGAACACACTTTATGTGTGTGCTTATTATGCGGGTACTAAATAGTTTGAGGTATGTCACAATTTTGAAAATGTTGATAAATATGCTAAATGTAACAATATCAAAAACCCTAACCCTTGAATATTAACTTTTTCACCACCAGTTCCCTCTTTTCATCACAAATTCACAAAATAGTCCTGATTATAGTCTGCACTTCCTCCCAGAAGATTAGGATAAAAGTATGTTTTTGAGTAAAAACTGAAAATTTTCTCAAATTTTGTCTGTTGGCTTCAAAACTAGTGTTCATCTTTTTAGCTCCGCTGTCGACTTTGTCGAGCGGAGCTTATCATATGAGTGATTGTCCGTCGTCGCTCGTGTCAATGTTTTACTTTTTAGCTCCGCTGTCAACTTTGTCGAGCGAAGCTTATCATATCAGTGATTGATCGTCGTCCGTGTCAATGTTTTACTTTTTCGACTTCTTCTTGAAAACTACAAGCCTGAATGCTTTGATACTTGGTGTATATGTACCTTGGGTAGACCTCTCTCAGATTTGTTCATTTCATGATGATATCTTCAATTCTCTAATTTTGGTGAATATTTTTGTCATTTTTGGTAAAAAGTGATATTTTCGACTTCTTGTTAAAAACCTCAAGTCCAATTGCTTTGATATTACATATATAGGTACTACATGTGGACCTCTCTCAGATTTGTTCATTTCATGATGATATCTTTAATTCTCTAATTTTGATGAATATTTTTGTAATTTTTGGTAAAAAGTGATATTTTCGGCTTCTTGTTGAAAACCGCAAGTTCAATTGCTTTGATATATTATACATATAGGTACTACATGTGGACCTCTCTCAGATTTGTTCATTTTCTAATGATATCTTCTTTTCTTTAATTGCCATGTGCATTGCTAACAGCGGAGCTATCTCAGCCGACAGGCTGCTTGTTCGACTTCTTCTTGAAAACTACAAGCCTGAATGCTTTGATACTTCGTGTATATGTACCTTGGATAGACCTCTCTCAGATTTGTTCATTTTGTAATGATATCTTTAATTCCCTAATTTTGGTAAATATTTTTGTAATTTTTGGTAAAAAGTGATATTTTCGACTTCTTGTTAAAAACGACAAGTCCAATTGCTTAAGTTGATATTACATATATAGATACTACATATGGACCACTCTCAAATTTGTTCATTTCATGATGATATCTTCAATTCTCTAATTTTGATGAATATTTTTGTCATTTTTGGTAAAAAGTGATATTTTCTTCTTGTTAAAAACCACAATCATTTATGGTTAAAAATTATATTTTTGAATTCTTGTTGAAAACAGCAAGTCCCATTGCATTGATACTATGCATATTGTTCATTTTCTAATGATATCTTCTGTTCTTTAATTGAAATGTGCATTGCTAACAGCGGAGCTATCTCAGCCGAGAGGCTGCTTGTTTTTAGAAGTATTAAAGAATATAAGAAAAAAATGCAGAAAGATGTGGGCGAGAAAGTCTGATTGTAGAAAGGTCAACTGAAACCAATGCAATATACTTAATTCTCCCTCAGTCTGTAAACTTACTGTTGCATTCATACTTTCCTAAATTTGGAACATAAAGAGAAAATAAGATAAAAACATAAAATGTCTAAAAATTATTGTTTTTGATAAAAAAAACTAAACCAAAATAGGATACACATATTTATTAGGGGACAGTACCTTCCTAATTTGCAAAATGTATATGCAAACATCCACCCACACCCCACCCCCACCCCACCCCCACCCATACGTCTGTATAATCTGATTGCCATTCTGTAACTGTAAATGAATCTGCATTTGTCTAACATTTAAGTCTCGATGTCCTTATAGAAACAAATTATAAATTTTTATTTCAGTTGACACAACCTTATGTAATAGTGCACCCGGTTCAGGTCCTAGCTCACCTCAGAGTGGTGGAGTACCTGCTACATTGGATAATGGTGGTAATGGCAATTCACCTGTCATGTCTGCAGAGGTTAGTTCAGATGTATGCATTTGAGTTTACATAATTATACATATATAATATGTACTTTACTGGCTTTCATGGGGAACGGAATGACCAGGGGTGCTTGTAAATTTCATTGTGTTTGTAGGTTGCTAAGAATGCAAGGAATACTGACACAATAGTTGCGTTCACGCACAGCTCCTTAGCACGGGCTAAGAGGTCAAATTCCTTAGCCCGTGCTAAGAAAACGTGCGTGAATGCTTAGCACGGGCTAAGGAATGCTAAGTACGGGTTAAATCTGATCCGAATTTAAGACGCGGTCTAGATCTTAGCACGGGCTAACAAAGTATGCGCGAACGCTTAGCCCAGGGCTAAGCGCCCTCTGCGGCGACCTTTGGGTGTGAAAATTGTCCCATGTTCGTATAATGACACTATTCCACCAGTTATTACTCCGCGCTCACTTCCACACTAATCGGGTCACTGTAGTAGAGCGTACAGCAGCTCCAATCGTAGACAAAATAAATTTGGTTCGCTGTCTACGACATGCATTAATAAAACGCTGTATTTCTGTTACGCCCGTTGTATACTGTTTATGTGCATCCAAATAAGTGGTTCGTCTTCTCTCGCGTTCCTGTGCACGTCGCTTCAAAATTAGAACGAAACATGCCAGCAGCAGAAATAGAACCTCGCGCGCGTCATCCATTTTTCGTTCGTAAATAGCGGCTTACCAAAGGTCACCGACTAATGGCAGCCCTTAGCCCGTGCTAACGACTGGCCCTCCCTGTGCATGGACGCAATTGGGTCTAGCCAAAATGCAAATATGCTAGATAAGCCTAAATCAGCTTAAATCTTAGCCTGTACTTCGTGTAACGTGAACACAACTAATGCTTTAAAGTGGTAGCCTAATCTCACAACAAATTTGCTATCTGGATTAAAATTACAATGGATAACAAAAGATAGATAAACAACATAAACAATAGTGTCCCATGGTGGACCTTAGTATTCTAATATAGACAGATTATTTATCAATCAATCATTGTACACAGAAGCTAAACCTCTGTGCCTAATTCTTGTTTATCTGTAATCCAAACTTTGCATTGAAGGTAAAACAAACAGTTTTTCTGGTGCGGTGATGAGGTGGCTTGTGGGAATCCAAATTTAAAGCATTTAAGTATTAGCATATTTATTTCAACAACAAACAATTGTTTGACATCATTCTATTCTCTGTTCCCAGCATGATCTTGGCAGTTATCCATTAATGATGAAGAAAATGTTAGGACCAAATGAGGTCAATTTATACACTTCGCCGTCACTGCCTAACATCTCTTTAGGATTACCAGCTTCAGCTTCAGCTACTTCTACACATACTCCACAACCAGTAAGTGATTATCCTCTATTATTTAACATTACACAAATCTGTGCGGCTGTATTGGTGACATTTTTCTATGGAGAAAATGTATGCAATTCACCATGTGGTGAAATAATGTGAAATGTGATTTTTTTTCTGCCAACATACTCTGTGATTAGCACTCTTTTTCTTCCTTCCCCAAGCATATACAAATATACATATGTGAAATTCAACATGCGACATGTCCCTGGCAACATACCCTGTGATTTACCCTTCCCAAATCAGGTATAAATGCAAATATGTGCAATTCACCATCTGACATATCACTCTCAACATATTGTGTGATTAGCACTCTTTTTCTTCCTTCCCCAACCATATACAAATATACATATGTGAAATTCAACATGCGACATGTCTCTGGCAACATACCCTGTGATTTACCCTTCCCAAATCAGGTATAAATGCAAATATGTGCAATTCACCATCTGACATATCACTCTCAACATATTGTGTGATTAGCACTCTTTTTCTTCCTTCCCCAACCATATACAAATATACATATGTGAAATTCAACATGTGACATGTCTCTGGCAACATACCCTGTGATTTACCCTTCCCAAATCAGGTATAAATGCAAATATGTGCAATTCACCATCTGACATATCACTCTGAACATATTGTGTGATTAGCACTCTTTTTCTTCCTTCCCCAACCATATACAAATATACATATGTGAAATTCAACATGCGACATGTCTCTGGCAACATACCCTGTGATTTACCCTTCCCAAATCAGGTATAAATGCAAATATGTGCAATTCACCATCTGACATATCCCTGGCAACATAATCTGTGATTAGCAGTCCTTTTTCCTTTCCCAAAACAGGTATTAATACAGACATGTGCAATTCACCATGTGCGATCTTTTCATTTCTTGCTCTGCAACAAGCATTGTACAATCAAATCTGCTGACCGCGAGTAAACTTCCATATCTGTGAATACCAAGACATAAATATTAATTGTTACATTTTGTTTATAGGTCACAAGTACAATAACTCAATCTGCTGCTCAGGCAGGTATTAGTAATGAAGTACTATTAGCATCAAGGTTAGGGAACCCATTAGCTGCTGGTCATGTTTTACAGACTGGTTATTTTGCACCATTGTCTCATGGTAAGTCTGTGTATGCGGTTGTTTCTCTTCTGAACCTGTGGAAGTTACTCTCTTGGAGTCACTGCTATATGAAGAACCCGATATATGAGTTGAGGGCCGGGAGTTGACAAGAAACAATATTTATTGCTAATCCTGCTACCATTTTTAGATTTTTGTGCAATTAAAACAGATTTCTTGCAAACCAATATGTACCGGTATTAAATATTTGAATACAAAAAAAAACAAAACAGTTTTCATCATGTTACTAACACCATACCGGTAATACAGCATGTGTAAGCTTGTGTTTATTGTTTAAGTACCTTTTGCATGATTATTTTTGCATGAATGTAATTTTTCTCATATAAATTATGACTCATAATTTCAACGAAAAAGGAAAAAGTATGCCCATTACTCTTTTTTTTATACCCTAAGTATCACCCTCTTGTGACATAGTAAATTAATAAAGACACCATTGTAATGCATTTTAATATGTGGTCACATGTCTCTGACAGGACCATGCTGTCACGCTAACTGGTGTCACTGCAGTCCTATCTGCATGATTAAGTTACATATTTTTTAGCAACCAATACCATATTTATCTGGATAAGCGCCCAGGGTCCTGAACATGGAAAATTTGCAAAAAATAGGGGTGGACTTATGCCCGGACATACCCTGCAAACAAATAATGAAAATTCGCGAAAATTTACAACACATGGATCAAACTGCAGCAATGAATAGAATGGCAAATAAAAACGTGCATCACAAATAAATGAACAATATGCAACATTAGATGTAAAACAAAAATAATTTATTTACACGACCAATACGCATAAACTCAAAATGAACTAAAAATGTCAGGGGTTAAACTGCGTAAAATTATTTCCGGTTTTGACAAATACCGGAACAACAGTCATTTATTGTCATTTATTTATTTATTGTATTTCATCATGGGAGGCAAATTCCTCTATCATTACTGGTATATCCCATAAATAATGGCAATTTATGGAATATTAGGATGCAGATTTCTGCTGAGGTTACTGAACAAAAATGTGAGATTAAATAAAATTTCTCTTTTTCTATAACTTGAAAAATCCTTTTTAGACTCCACAATTTGTTTAAATGTATGATCTTGAAGTATTAAAAGCCTTCAGTTTGGCCCAATACTTAAAGATAAAGTTTGACCATTTGATGTGGTGATTATTGTTATTCTACTGCAATAGCTTACCGTTATGTTGTGTTGTGTTAATGTTTCATGTTTGTTTAATTTTACCCATTTGTGTGTGAAATAATTGTTTTTTGTCTTTCCCTCTCAGACGTTCAATCTTATTGGTTGTTTTCAGGTGGTAATGGTGATTTAAATAATTCGTTTCCGCCCACCAATCCAGCTTTTGTCCAGGCCCAATTAAAAGCCCTAGAACAAGCAGGTATTGCTGCACCACCAATCAACCCATTGATTGCAAGTAAGTGACACCAAACAAAATGCACATTTTGTGTCAGTTTTTTTCAATCGTCAGGTGAAAATTGCTGATTTTTATGTTTGAATTCCGGTATATGATATATTGTCGGCCTTTGCAGGCAGGGACCCTTCAGAGTTGAAAAAGCTTTTACCAAAACTAGCAATCAAGTCCCTGTTTTGTCATGAAACTCCGGCCTACCATAAACGAGTGAAGTATTTAATAACCAAATTCATATTTCTTTAGTCACTTTTCAATAAATTTAACATTTACATTTCAAACTATTGGCTAACAGCAATATACCGTTCTGTTAGGTGGGTTGCTGTAGCCACAAAATAAGTGTCCTATTGAATATAACTTGTCAGGCTACCACTTTTCATATACTTGCTATTTGCCAATCTGAATAGAATCAATATTTGAAATTATTACTATTCATGTTTTGAATAGCTGGTCTTGGAACCACCGTCCATCCTCATACACTGAGTGGCATTCCTGTGGCTGATAGCAACACTACTGCAGGGATCAGTAGCGGACTAGTGGCCCATGCTAGATTAATACGGTGAGTTCATACACTGGTATTCTTCCCAGCACCAGATTGCAGGGTGGTGACCTATTGGTTTCCTTCAAACTACAGTGGCAACCGCTTTGAGAAATCTATTGGGAGAATGCTGATGTTTCTTGCGATGCCGACTCTGTACCATTTTTGAAGGGTGGTGGACAACGAAATCGCATGTTCAATTTGTGAAACATTACACAATTACCGTATTTGTATGCACTTACATGAATGACAGAGATGTGGTTACAATAAGTCATATTTTAATATTCTGCGATATAATAAATGCAATTTTTGGGAATCTGTTTCTTATAAAAGCAAGTAGTCATTTCACTGACTTGCATATATGTCATACAGAGCTTTGTCTGATGATCACCACCCTTCAATTCAAAATATCACAGGATAAAAATTAGTCGTTGTTGTATTAATTCTTATGTTATATAATAAGTAAATTGTACATTGGTCGCGTTTGTGATTTCCCAACCTTTCCATGCTGTCCATCTCATAGCTGCAATGTAAATATATGGGTTTATAAGGTTATCTGTTTGTTTGTCAGATTGTGGTCAAGTAATATGTATTGGTGTACTGCTGATAAGTATATTTACAGCAAATGTTGTTATTTATAATAATTCCATTGTGTATATATATAAGGCTGTCTGTGTCTTTCTTTGCCAGTTTCTCTATTAATTAAATTTTGAAAAGTATAAATGATAACTATAATAATTAAAAAATAAATTTAAAGTTATTATTTTCGATCTTCTTGTTAGTCCTGTAATTTATCTGTTTAGTTTTTCTTATATTTGAAAAAAATTCTAATTGCTGACAGGTTTAGATCATTAGCTATTCAATACTTAGAACAATTGACAAGTCAATCAGAATATGAATGTACCTTGGTCATTTAGAAGTTACTTATAAGACTAACCCTCATTGGCTATTTAGTGCTAAAAGAATAATTCACAAGCCAATCAGAAAACACCTTGCTTGGAATTCACAGTAAATGACAAGATTAGTGCAAAATTGTTGATGGGATAATGAGCAAATACAAAGACTAAATTTAACTAATCTACCAACATTTTCAAGTGAGACAGCTTTGTAGAAGGGCACAGGTTTGTTGATGCATTTCCTAATCCCATCCTTTGTGTGCTTTTTGTATCTGTGTCTGTGTTCATTAGCCGTGGCCTTTCCTCATTGGTAAATGTTTCAGATCCGGTCACAGGCCCCTAGGCAGAACACAATCTGCCCCTTTACCAACAAGCCAGCATATACAACAATTCCAGCAACAACAACAGATGTTACTTCAACAACAGCATCAACAGTTTTTACAAGAGAAACAAAAATACATACAGATGCAGCAACCGGCACTTTTAAAGCAAGTGGTAAGTTAGTTTCTAGTCAGGGATTATCATCCCTGTCTCATTATATTCAATTTTTAAGTTTTTGAGTTACTGGTTGCTACAGAAAGGCAAGCTTTATTACCAGTAGTTAGTGAGCTTGTTTTTTACAAGTTGGATACATTTTCTTGGCTGTTATCCCACATTATTGTTATATGGTGTTATGCTTCATCGGGTGTGTATGGATGAAAAATAGGTTTTTCATCTTCTGCTGACTGGATGTGCGTCAACATGGTCAACCCTGCCTTTTGTATGCATGGCAACTAAGCAACCAGAGAAACCAAAACTTGATAAACTACCTACTACTACATGTGTGTATGCCTCGTGACGTAGTAACACATGGTATAATCTCACTCAATGTAATTGTGGCCTTTTGTGGGCTCTTGATGAGTTTAAGAGTTGCCCTTTATAATTCTTGTAAGAAAGGAAGTGTATTTTCTATAATATACATATGTAAACAATACAATGAATACAAGTATGGCTCTTTACTATTTCCATTTGAATACAGGTGTCACTGTTCACATTTGCTACATGAATGCAAGTGTGGCTGTTTACAATCTCCATATGAAAACAAGTGTGTTTTGTTTACAGTTTCAATATAAATACAAGTATGGTCGTTTACTATTCCCATTTGAATACAGGTGTCACTGTTCACATTTGCTACATGAATGCAAGTGTGGCTGTTTACAATCTCCATATGTAAACAAGTTGTGTTTGTTTACAGTTTTCATATGAATACAAGTATGGCTGTTTACAATCTCCAAAGAGATACAAGCGTGGCTGTTTACAATTTGCATAGGAATACAAGTTTGGCTGTTTGCAATCTCCTTATGAATACATGTGTGTTTGTTTACAATCTCCATATAAATACATGTGTGTTTGTTTATAATTTCCATATAAATATAAGTGTGTGTTTACAAGGATAGATGCACAAGTTTGAGTTATGATCTTCAAAGTGCTACTATCGCAAAAAGTTCACAATAATCTCTGTGCATGTCATAGCAAATGCGAAAGCAGTTAAGAAGAGAAAACCATGTGGAGGAGAGTCCGGAAGAAGCAGAGGAAGATGCAGCAGCCGCAGCGCAGGATGCTGAGATGAAAGACACTCCAGTGTCGCCAACGGTTACCAAACCTCCAGTCATTACAGACTCTAGAATATCACCAAGTCATTCAAGTCAGGAGAATCGGTCCTCACCGCCACCCCTTCTTCTACAACAACAACAACAGCATCATCCCTCAATGACGACAATATCACTGAGTCCATTAACTGTGGAAATTAAACAAGAACCTATTGATATTGATGAAGAGAAGCTGAAGATGGTGCATAAGGTAATTTAATAGATTACATTCAATGTGCCCTCTGATATTCACCAACTCCCTTTCGTTTGGATTCATCACTCTAAAATGACAACATGAAATAACATATGATGTCAGAGTGTAAACTACAGCATTGTGTTAGGCATAGTTTATATCCAAGTGAATCCTTCGGCAAGGGCACAATAACAATTGCCGACCATGTCAGGCCGTTGATAGCAATATTACAATGCTACTACATCCTATATAAATAATCAAATACAACCCAAACTTGTCAAAACCTCCTCATGGTACAATAGTTTATAGGGTGACCAACATAACTTTTCCCCATCTGGTGTATGTCAACTTCTTAGCTTCCGTAGGTCATCTTTATTTGAAATGAATCCACTCTTGTGACCACTTAAAGGATTAATTTGACTGGACAGTTATTTTAACATCTGTTTTATCTTAGGAACAAGAGGAAATAGAAAAACAACATCACTTTGGTAAACTTCGACACGGTCCAACTAAAGCTGCTACAGTGACTGGGTGTATACCAGGTTTGTCTTGATCATTTTACAATCAATTCATATTTGGATCTATGTTTAGCCAAAATGAGATGATAATCATATATCAGAATCAATAAGATTTAATTACCTTTAATTCAGAAATTTCTAAATTAAATGTTTATGTATATACTGAACTCGACGTGTCAGCGCCCAAGGTCCTCAACTCATAAAATCAGGATTTTTTAGGGGTGGCTGCTTACCCGAGCACCCCCCTGGGAAAAGAGTGCAAATGACAATTTGAATTCGCCGTGTGACAGATTGATGGGGATATTACGTCTTTGAGGGGAAATAAAATTACGAAATTAGATGCGTCGTCATTGACTCTTACAATGAAGAAACAGAAATGGTCAAATATGCACATTTTATTACAATATTAATTACGTACCACCCAAATTTACAAGATTCAAAATATTAGAGTCTGTTTGAACACAGTCAAAGTCAAAATCTTCATCATTATCGCCACTGTTGAATGTGCTGTATCATGATATGAAAATGATTACCAGTATTTGTTAAGCAATGATCAAAGACCAAGTTTTAAATTAGTTGCATTTTGAAGGGATGGGCGCTTTGCCGAATATGACCCTGAATATAAAAATTGCGCTAAAGTGGGGGCTGGGGTGGACGCTTGACCGGGCATGGGTGATAACTCGCTCAAGTACGGTTAATGTTATGTAAATTGCAAATGACGATTGAAACCAACCAATCGCAGTGCGTTAACAGATGCATGGTAGTAAATAACTAGTGTTTGAAGGAAACTTACAAATACATGTGACATGCATTACCAACTGGCATCTGTAGCCTAAGAAAGTCCCTTCATTGGATTTGAATTCCAGGGTGAATGTTTCCATTCATAAAACTCAATGTATTCACGTTATTACATTAAATTAATTAATACACATGTTTTTTTTACAGTGAATCCATTAACGAGGCTATCGCATTGTCATCGACCGCTATCTCGAGCTCAAAGCTCACCAGCTGCAGCATCATTCCATTTATCGACAGACTCATCTCAGTATTGTCCTGGTGACTCACCGGTCAAACACATGTTTACTACAGGTAAGCCACACACATGTATGCAGCAAAATAACTGTCAGTTGAACAGTTGCAGGAAAGTGTGTAGGTAATTATAAATCTGTGCATAACTGTGACTACCAAAGATGGATTCTGATTGGATTCAAACTGTCTCTTTGACCATTTTTGCCGAAGAAGTATAGTTGAATATAAAATTACTAAACATGAAGAGTTAATAATGAGAAGGGCACAAAGGAAAACTCACTGTGCATTCAAGTAATTGCCTTTGATGTCGCTGTGGTGTTTGAGCCCAGTATTTGACAGTGTCAGCACCAGGGGGTGGGGGTGGGGAGTAATAAAGGTATAGAATAAATTGCAAGAAAACAAATCAACCCTTACCCTCAACCTCAAAACATGCATCGTTATTACACGTCGCCAAAGCAATATTTCAATGAGAGCAAGACAAGCCTGGGATGTGGGTTGAATGTACAGTGAAATCATGCAGAATGGATTATTCTAGTTGACAGACCTTTAAAACCATATTATATATAGGTGACTTGTTTATTAATCCTGACTATTGTAACCTACAGTTCTTTAGCTGATAGTTATTTTACGGGTAACCATATGTACATCTAGAGTCTGATAAAGTCATACGATTTTGTAGCCAGGACTCTTCAGCCAGCAACATTAACTTAATCTCAATCTATTCTTGTATATTAAAACAATTTATGGGGATATCTGAATTGTTCCGAAATTAATCCTAGTTTTTGGCTCGATTTCAAGACGAAAACCGCGGAAAACTACAGCGAAATCCCCGTGTTTACCGCCATCTTGAATAAGTTATCGTGACGCCATGAGGCGTCATAGTTTTCCCATTTCAAGCGGTTTTCGTCGTGAAATCGACAATTTCGGACTATCGCCCTCAAAATAATTGATGAAATAGTTTCGGGACCCATAGACAGTTGAAAGGTAGAAACTTAAGGCGAAAATAATGAAAATAAAAGACTGTTACGACCCGAACTGATTTCAGTTCAGACTATTTTAAAATGGTCATTTTTGGTCAAAAATTCTATTTTCGACTTCTTCTTCAAAACCGGTTGCCTGAATGCTTTGATACTTGGTGTGTATGTACCTTGTGTTGACATCTACTAGATTTGTTTATCCCATGGCCATATCTTTAATTCTCTAATTTTGGCAAATATTTTTGTCATTTTTGGTTAAAAATGGAATTTCAACTAACCACTATTTCCAATGCTTTAGGTGTTAGGCATACATGTGTTTATTATTCCATTGACAACTTTGTGTGGTTGTTTGGCGATATTTCATTTAAAAGTACAAATTTAAACGAAAAGTTGTGACATATACAACACTAATCTTTTGTACAATAGCCGCTCAGAAACAGACCATTGGCCTATTTTTTTTTTGTCTGGAAAAACTGAATTCTGGGTAATTTAAGATATATCCGTATACCTATACATATACCTGTATATAAAATTGTCATTTCTTAAATAATCTGACCTGGTCATTCAATTACTATAGGGCACAGTAGTCAGGATTAATAAAAAAAAGTCACTTAATTGAATACACAGCAGTAGCTTCAATGCACATTTATAATACATGTATTATAATATATTTTTATTATTACCGGGGGTATACATGTATTATCGAAAAATGGATTTATGTCCATGAAATTGCTTTTAAGACATTTGCTTAAATGTGAAGCAACATTATTTTTTTGGGAAAGGGGGTTTTAGCATTTTCATTTTTCAAACTTAAAACCCCACGATAAAATTTGTTAAAATTTAGTTTTGAGTGTCTGCGACAATGCAAGACTGTCCCTTTAATACTTTTGTTGTATGCACATATTTTATTGACAGGGTTAGCATATGATAGTTTAATGCAGAAGCATCAATGTACATGCGGTAATAATGCCTTACATCCAGAACATGCAGGCAGATTACAAAGTATATGGGCTAGGTTTCAAGAAACGGGAGTTATTTCAAGATGTGAGGTTAGTATTTAATATTTGTATGTATGGCCGAAATGTTGAGTCTGATGTAGGGAGACGTCTGTCCTATGTCAGCATCATCATCTTGGCTAATGTTTTTACCTTGCCCATAACATCAAAGATGGAAGGGAAAGGCATATTAAGGGGAAAATTTCTGTCTGGCGTTATCGTCGTCGTCGTCGTTAATAATTATCATGTGTGCACAATAACTTTACTGATTCTATTCCAAACTTCATCAAACTTGGTCACCTTATTCACCAGTATAAAGTCTTCCCTGAGTTTGAACAATAGATTTCCAGTATGAAAATATCATGCGAAAATTGTGAAAATCTGATAAAATATTTTGACTGTTTCTACTTGACTTATGATCACTGGTGATACACATTCAAAGGTCACTGATCTCAGTGGAAATATGCATTGTTGTCTGTGTTCAATGAAGCAAATCATTTATCTTGTAATAATATCCTTGGTGTTGTATCTCCCAAATCCCATGGGAATACTAGACTAGGTTTCAAAACCAACTCATGAAGTTTTTGCACAGTCTGATATACATTTGCAAACCTAAAATCTTTACAGAAGACAAGATGTCAGAAAATCAATATAAGCATTCCTATGAATTGGGTGCCAAACTTTGATCAAGATCTAGATATTTACATCTATCAAGGACATTCGGTAGACTGATTCCCCACTGTTGTTTCAACTTGTTTGTATTCAAAATTAATTATCACAATGCATATTCATATTGAAACAAACTATGATAAAGGAAATAATATTGTATAACAAAGGGCAAGGTCACCAGAGTTCAACTATGTTTTCTTACTATGCATGCATAATAATGAAGGTTTCTCATGTTATAAAAGTAGCCATATTTGTGTGGGATGCAAATATATATTTACAATCAATGAAAGTCTCAACATTTTGTAGCAATGAACAGTTCACAAGAGTCATAGATTCACTGGGACTTTCACAAAATTTTGTGTTCATAAAAGCCTGAAAAATCATCAAAAATGTCATTGACAGAAGTGAAAATCTGTTTACCTCAGATTCAGTGACATCATATCATATTGATTTTCTTTTTTACTTTCCAGAAGGTAAAATCTAGAAAAGCCACATTGGATGAAATTCAGACTTGCCATAGGTATGTATCATATTGTTAAAGCGTGGTGGTCGTTGCGTGTTTGAATTTCATGTAAATAAACAATGTATTTTACACGCGTAGTATACGTTGCTATGAGTCCCATATCAACATGACGTGGGACACAACTGCCGCCCTTTAAACTGATATCTTTTAGGGAAGAGTAGGAAATCAAACTCGCGGTTAACCACGGTCATTACCGCAGTGGTGGTGGGTGCTCGCCGGTCGACCGCATTTTATGCAAATTTATGCATAGATTCCATGACCCCGGTTTACCGCGGTCGGGTGCGGTAGGCTTGTATGGCACTTTACACCCTATTGTTAAGACTATGAATGGACACAATAGACTGGGAAACTAAAGGTTACTTGCCGCTGCTGTATGGTCTCAGGATTTATTTTAAAAGATTAATGTTTCGCGTATACCAATATAATAGGGCGAAGTATAAATTCCAAGTGTAAAACACTCGATAAGAGGCCGCAGTTTACGTTACCTCGAGACCATGCACTAAGTAGGAAAAGCAAGCCGAAGTCGAAGAGGGAGTGTCACACACTTGGTGCTACAATATATACTACAACAACTGGGTGATCAGCGAAAAAAATAGCGCATTTCTTGGCGAAACTGACTAATCTAATAAACCTTGGCCCAAGTTTAACCCCAAGTCACGCGCTGAACAAGTGGGTTGTTACCTTGGTGACCATTCGCGCTCCGCGCGTTGACCTTGTTATTATACACATCCTATTGGCTCTGCTTTGCCTACGTAAAAATTGTTACTGTTCTGGTTGTGAATATTTCACCATTGCCGACGTGATAATGCGTTGCCTTCGTAATAATTACGCAAACTTATTTTCCATTGTTTACGTACTGGCTGTGAATATTT